CTTCTACATTTAACTTTAACTTATTAAAAAATAAAAAATAAAATAAAATCTTTTTTGATAACTGTTAAAAAATATTTTAAATCATCACTTACTTCTGTTAACAATTTTTTTCAAATAGAGAAATCTAACAATTCCTTCTGATACTATTTATGAAATAAGAAGCATATTCTGTAAGATACTTTTCTAACACAATTTGATATTCACTAGTCAAAGGAAATAATATAGATAGTAAGAGTTATTTTGCAATATCTTTATAAGCTTTCTATAAAGAAATAATTTTAATTATCAAAATTAAGTAAACCTGTTACATATAATAAACAACTTACATTCTAAAAACTATCAGAAAATTTGTCAAGTGCAATAAGCTTTATTAATAATTTTGTATTTTATTTTTACTGATCGCTAATATATCTGCAAACTTTATATAACGAGTTAATCTTTAAATCTAATAAACCCATTGTATAATTAAATTCTTTAATCATTAAGTAATTTCCAGTTTTTTCAATAGGAAACAGTTTTGATGTTGATTATGATTTCAACCACTGATGATGAAATATAGCTATTAAAATCATCATCAAAGCTTATCAGACTATTCTTATTTAACTTTTATAAGATGTTATTATAGAAATATTATAGATAATATTAACAGAAGCTAAATCTATCAATTTTTCACGAAGTGTTTTTAGATCAATATTATTATTCATTGAAATGTTATTAACAATTATAATATTAGCTAATTTTTTACGAGAAGAGCTTGAAGATAAAGCATTAGTTAATTCTTTTTTAGAAATAAATGATTAAAGATTAGTTATATAATATTAATTTATATAGATATCAGAGATTATTTATTATGTGATAATATTTGACTAAAGATATTTTTAATATTTTGAGAAGCTTTTTCTTGAAGTTTTACCTTTCTGATAAAAGGTTTACTTTCATACCTTAAAGTATTTGATGATTTTGTAAGTTTTTTTTGTTTATTATTCTTGAATATAGTATTGTAATATATAGAAAAATTGAAGAGAAAATTTTAGTATCAAAGATAATTAAGAAAACTTAAAATAAAAAAAAATGGTTTAAATATTTGAAAATTAAATTGCGTAACAAGTAAATTCTTAAAATAATTAGTGATGATATTAATGAATATTAAAGATAGCTTAAAATGATTAAATATTACATTATAAAAATATTAAAATAATTAAAATCAATGGTAAATAAGTGATAAAATAAAAGAATTTTATCATATTTTCAAAAATAAATAATCGTAAATAATTAATCTTATATATCTTAATATTAAATTTTGATTAAAAATATTATGGTTAGATATTGATATGAAATTTGCAATAAAGAGTTTTTAAATTCCAGTGGATTGATACAGCATATTAATGCTAAACATTGTAAAAGATTATCACTTTCTTTGTTAAACAAATTCATTCAAAATTCACAATAATTTCAACAATTGTCAAGAATAAAACATATACTAAAATTAAAATATAATGAAACTTATAGAATATCCCAATTACAATGAATATAACTTCATGGAATACATCAAAACCAACTTTACCTACTTCATCTGAAAACTTATAAGTTAATAATGATGAAATAGCAGATATAATTTTTGAAGATGAAAATAAATCACGATATAATCTATGAAGATAAAAATAGAATATAGAATCAGAAAATATAAAAGAAATTAGTGAAGAACTAAAAATAAAATTGTAATTACCAGTAAATCTTGAAGATACTGCCACTGATTTTGAAGATTTCTAAGAGTGTCATTAGATGATGCTTTAGATGCTATTGAGGGAAAATATAATAGAGTATGTTGCAAATTAGCTAAGTAATGCATATCGTGACTTTATGGAGTTGATAGTAAATGGTAATATTATAAGATAGGCAATAAAATAATAAAGTATTTTAACAAGTATAATAATTTAAAAAAATTATCATTAACAAGTTTAACAAAAACTGACAAGGATTATCTTAATCAAATAAATTTATCTTTAATAGATTTCAAAGAAAAAGTTGCTGAAATGTATAATAAAATTAATTTTACTCTTTACTATTATCTAATTTTTTATACTATTCAAGCTTTTCTACAATGACTAGAAGTAACCAATCACTTGTCTATAAAGAAATCCCAAAAAAATAAAGGTTAGTTTAATAAGTGAATATACATAATAAAAAATATATTATTTAGGTTTATTTGGTTATTTAAATTCTAGGATTATAACAGTAATAAAATAAGAGTATTTGGTAAACCTTATAAATGTAACTGGTAGTTAAAAACAGAAAAGAACCTTCTACCCTTAAATAGCTTGTTATCTATCATTTTATACTTAGATGTAATAATTTTTGATAAACTTGAAAAAACTTTAGATCATCCAGTATTTTTAACTTTCAGAAATCTTTCAAATTAGATTCAAAATTTATCGAAATCTAAAGTTCTTTTAGGATTTCTGCCTAAAATATAAGATATAGGTATTAAATTAACTGAAATATTTCAAAACTTACAAGATAAAGTATATTACAAATGTTTTGATATTATGCTTTAACCTTTATTGAAAAAATCTAATGCACTATATTTTGGTATTAGAGGGTGGCAAATAACATTCACTACATAAATTTCATTTTTTTCAGATATACTTAAAGTTGATGATATAACTGCAATATATAAAAAAGTCTGATGATATAACTGCAATATATAAAAAAGTCTGATGTAAAATATCATATCATATCTGCATAGTTTTACAAAGTAATTTAAATAATTTGAATCTTACATTAGAAGATATGAGTCTCAGAACTTATAAAAATATGCAGAAGATTTTAAGTAAAAGTTAAGGAAAAGATTTTTTAGTTCATTCTATTAAAAATATATTTTGAAAATTTTCATAACTATTATTTAATTATTATTATTAAAAATAAAAATAATTATAAATTAAATTAGTTAAAACTAAATTCAATAAAATTTTTTAACAAAAATTTGAATATTAATGAAATATGTATTTCTGATCATATGTATCATATTGATCTTAAACTTTTCAAATACCAATTGGAATTCATACAAGATATTTTAAAGGAAGTTGAAAGAATAGAATTGCAAAAAATTTTGATGATCGTCTTCATCAAGTTTCTCATTTTCTTGATCTTAAACTCTTAAGTAAATTAGATTACTTAAATATAATTACTGTTGCAGATTATCAACATATAATAAAAATTACCCTTTTTGTTTTAGATAATATTTTTGTTAAATGAAATGAAATAACCTGTGCTGAACTTTGTGAACTTTATGCAAAGTTTAGTAAAATGTATATAATGAGCAAGCAGGAATCATATACTGAAAATGAATTAATTGTTTTTAAGGTATTAATTATTAGCATTAAGCTAAATAATAAATTTTTAATTATTTAAATATTAAAAAATAATACTTTAATTAAAATAGGATGCAATCGCTGAATAGTGTACTGATTTTAAAAGGATTTTTACTTCATTATTAATAACAGAATATAGTTTTTCTAAACTATATAGTTAGTGATACAATACAGGTAAATTTAATTAGTTCTAAAAAAATGCAGATTATATAACTATAATACCTTTCATTCTGTTATAGTTTCAGCAATTCAAAAGTATAGAGCATTGAATAGCTTATCAACAGAACCTATGAAACTCTTTATAAATATTATGTCAAAAATCCTTACCATTTATTATATATTCGAGAGGTTTAATGACAAAATTGGTAAAAAAAAAATCCTTTCTGCTATAAAACTTTACAAACTTCTATTCATTTTTCTCACCTGTCAAATCCATTCTTATAAAAGAGTCTAAGATAACTTGTTGCTTGAAATAAAATTCTTCTTATTCTATAGCCTTTTGCAATTTTTTTATTGTCTGAATTTGGTCTTTTTGAAATTGAATTTTTTAGCTTTTTGTTTAACATACATAATTGTTTTTTTAAGTATTGCTAATGCTTCATAATTGCCAATGATGAGAACTTCAACTTCTTCTTCAATATCTTCTTCTGGCTCTCTCAGAAATTTTAAAATTTCTTCATTAGTTATTATTTGATGAATATTTTCTTCTTTTTCATATTGAAGATATTCTTCTGCAGAGATTGGATCTTTGTATATATCTTTAGCTAATTGGTCAATAAGATTCTATATTTTATTAATATCATTAATATCATCATTAGTAAAAGAACTTTTATCATCAATTTCAATATCTTCATTATCATGTGAAAGAATATCTGTCTATTTCTAACAATTTACAATTGTTTCTGATTGAACAGAATCCCATGCTTTTACTATATATTTAATTGCCTTTTTAATAGTAATTTCAGACAAAGGTTAATCAGTTTTTAAACTATTATCAAATTCTTTAATACGATTTTTTAAAAACAGTTTTCAATACTGTATATATATAATAAATATACAGGTATATATTAATTTAATATTAATTTTTATTTTATCTTATAATATGAATTTATTAACATATATTTATCTTAAAACTTCTAATTATTCCAGCATCACATAGCTAAAGATATGCTGTTGTATTAGGAAGCAATTTATAAAGCTGAATATTGGTAAGAATAGTATCTTCATGTAAAATATGAGTAGATATACTATCATAGAGTAAAATTATATGTCAATTTTGAAGTCATAAGTATGCATCAAAATTTTTTAACCAATCATTTCAGACATTAACTTGCATATAAGCTGTTTTGTTTTAATAATAGTATACTGGAAGAGATAATTTTACATTTTTTAAAGCACATGGATTTTGGCTTTTCTAATAAAAACTGTTTTAAATTTCTCAGCTTCAGAAGCATTACAGCATAGCATAACAGTAACATATTCTTTAGATTACTTTTTTCCTGTAACTAAGGTAAATATTATTTAGTTTATTAGTTTATTTATAATTATCTATAATAAATTATATTAATCAAATACTATTTTTAATTTTTTACCTAGTCCAATTGACAATGTATGATTTGGTTTCATTTTTCAGTAAAGTCCAATTTTATCTGTATTAAAAATATCATCTAGTGAATAATCTGTAAGAATACTTTGAAGATTTTTACGCATATCATTCAAAGTTTCTAAAGGAGCATTTGCTGATTCTTTATATTTTAGGTAACATTCAAGCTTATGACATTTTTTGAAACCTACTACCTATCTTTCTGATCCTTTAAAATCTGATTTATTTAACAATATTATAAAATCATATGCTTTTTGTGCCATTAATTCACTATTAATGGCAATATTATTTTCTATTACTTTTTCAACCTAGAAGCTTAAAGCTTTTTCAATTTGTGAAAATTTTACTTTAATTTGTCTTTTAAGTAAAGCTTCATAAGATTCTGATTTTAATTCTAACCATTTTTTCTTCTCTTTTAAAATATCACATATCATTCCTTTTGACACATCATATTCTTTAGCAAGTTCTTTATTTTTAAGTTTTAGTTTTTGTAAACTTTTTAAACAAATTTTCTTTTTCTAAATACCGGTAAGAGAAGCCCTAGTTCTTTTTATTTTAAGAGTATTTTTGTCTTTTGATATTTTTGAATAAAATATTTATCAAAAAAATTTACAATGTAAAAATCATGATCAGTTTGATTTAATAATGTAAAAATAATGTAAAATTTCCTTTAATAGTTATTGTAAAAATACATTTATTACTAAAAAAAAATTCGTTATAACCCTTAAAATTTTGACAAAAAATTTGATATCGAAAAAATTTGTTTAATCAAGTATAATTTTACTATACTTTACTATAATCTGTATTACATTACTGATTCATTATATTTTATAGTAAAATTTATTAGAAAAATTCAGTTTATTTAAATTATATAACTATATATAATTTGATACTACTCATGTGATTTGCAATACCATGAAATTCGTTATAAATTACTTCGACTTTAGAAGCTGCTTTTTGAAAAGATATTCTAATTAAATCAAACTAATCAGTTAATCTCTTTGATCTGCTTAAATTTTTTTTGTTAATTTTGATAGATATAATATTATTTACATTTTCAAAATCTCGTAAAGAAACTACACCCAAATAAAATACATAAATTAATTCTAGACATTTGTTATAATTGTTAGCTAAATGGCTTTCTAATTTATTTAGATGATTACAAGACTGAAATTTTTTACAATACTTATACTTGACCGAAAAATGACTAGCAGATTTGAGAGAGTCTTTTTTAAAATATTTCTATACTCATTTTAAGGATTAACACTAGGCTTTCTTTTTTATTGAGAATCCATATTTGTTTTAAAACTTAATATAAAATTTCATAAAATTAAACATAAAATACAATATTAAATGTAATATTATCAGTATATATTTGAAAAATTTAAAGAAAAAAAATCAATTATAAATTTATTAATTATAGTATTATAAATTTAAAATGAAATTTTTATTATTTTTTTTTAAATCTTTTTATATAATCAGTCAATCAAATCTTTCATAAATATATTATAAAAAATGTAGTTAATTATTATGTGATAATAATAACTTCTATGTATTACAATTTCAAATTTTAAATCAGATCTTTCATTAAACATATTAAAAAAATGTGACTAATTGTTATTGGATAATAATAACTTCTATATATTATGATTTTAAATTTAAATCAGATTTTCATTAAACCTATTACAAAAAATGTAATTAATTATTTATTATTAGATAATAATAACTGTGTAATATGATTTTGAACTTTAATAAATATTAATCAAAAATCTAATATTTCGTATTTAAATATAATAATTTAGTATTATTTACCTTAAATAATATTTTAACAGCATTGATTCTGATATTAATTTATCTAATTTTTAACAAAAATAAAATAAATAAGTTCTAATTAAATATAAATTAGAATAATAAAATTGGATTGTTTTTATAAAATTTTAAAAAAAATTTTAATTATTCTGAAAATTTAATTAGTGATAAACCTATAGATAAATTAGTAATAAATCAGTGATAATTATAAGAATATTATCATTGAAAATTGTATTTCCTTTTAAAATGAAAAATTTGAAATTTTGTATAAATTTAATAATTTATTAAAATAGTAATTATTAGATAATTTTGTAAATTAAATTATACGTAATATGTAAAGATAAAATTACAATTATAATTTACAATTATTAGATAATTTTGACTAAATAAAATTACTTATTACATGCAAATTATTTTAAATCTCTGATATGTATCAATATAATTTTATATAAATTTATAAGTATCTTTT